CAAATGTTCCACAAGATCGAGTTCTTCGTGCCAAGTTCATCCTGAACTGGAAGACCCATGCTGATGGGAGCCCTCGGGCAAAGGCAAGGTTCAAGGATCCTGATGCCCTGAATGGATCTCTGACGACGGCAAGTCCAACCTTGACCCGTCTTTCAAAATATGATTCTGAGCCAGGTTCCAGAAAGTGCTTGTAAAGAGCAGCGGGTCTGCTGCCTCTGAAGCCGCCTGCCTTTCCGCCGCCAGCGTCGATCGTGCGATCCGTCCCAGCTTCCAACATCTCCAGTCGAGGACAGTATTGAATCATTATTGTAGTGTCCTTCAGCTCCCTCCACCGCCGTCTTGTGCACCATCGCCAGGAGATAGCCACCTTGGCTAGACAGAGAACGCTATGAAGGTCAGGTTCTCCTTGGTGCCCAGGCATCTATATTCCAGACCCACGTCCGCATTCTCCTTGGCATAGCGTAGGATCTTGTTGGCTTCCAAAAGCGTCTGGGTAGTGGCAGTGGTTACTGATCCAGCCATCATGCTGACAGAAACTTGAAGCCACGGGGCTGTTTGAGTGCTTGGCCATTGCAGTCCACCAAGCACAGCTCGCAGGGCTGTTGCTGGTCTCCCAAGCGCACAATCTTGGCGCCGCAGTATGTCAGTTCGTCTTTTCGGCTCCATTTTGCCACTCATGGAGGACGTGAAAGTGCTCCTCAGGGTGTCCATCAGCTTCTTGGTGTTGGGGTCCTTCTCATACAGCACCCCAGTAGATCGTCTACCTGTAGACCAAATATTGCCAGCAGTTGTGGGGCATCATGAGGGTTAGTTGGATCTTGCGGTCAAACGCCAGGAAAAGGCAACCGTCCAGGGGATGTTGGACAAAGGTTCCATCACCCATCTTCAAGATTCGGTCCATCCACCAAACCATACATAGGTTTGGTCAGCTTCATGACCCGTCCATGTCCAGGAGGTAGACCAAGTAGTGCGTCAGCTTCTCGAAGAGCCAGCGACGAGCGTGGCTGATGACCCCTGAGCGTGGCCAATTTCTCGTGTTTTTTTGATATTTTCTCATTTCACATTTTTGAACCTGTCTGATTTGTGTGCCACACAAATAGGTGGCTAGTGTTTCAACATGGACTTTGAGCATTTCATTTGCCACATGTCCCCATACCATTTGGGCCCAATGCCCAATCTTCCAGGGAAACTGATGTAAGGGTCCCATGGGCGTAAGCCCACCGCTACGCACTTTGGCAGCCGAACCAAAAAGCTGCTGACCTTTAACTTCGCGCTGCACTTCGAGAGGTGGCATTGGATTTGGGAGATTGCCACCGAATCAACGCAAGGTTTTTGACGCGAGACCTTCAACATCGGTAATGTATTGACGGTATTGCCGGTATTGCAGTTAAAATTCAATCTGAAGACTAAGATATTCCAAGTGTGATATCAAGTCTTTCCAGAAGTTCCTTGAGAAGTTCCTTGTCCCAAGTTTGCCTTCGCGCGTTGCCACATTCTCGCGATGCCATTTTGAGGATTGGCTCCAATTGGCTCCTGGGGTGTAGCACGGTGTAGGTCAAAGCACTGTAGGGTGCCTTCTTGGGCTGCTTGGCTGAGCATGTTTTTCCTATTCCCGAAAGCGTCTGAGCGAAGGGTGCTTCTAAAAGTGGAGGTCTGCTATACATCTTCAAATGCTCACATCTTCACATCCTCACATGTTCACATACTCACATCTTCTCATTTTCACATGTTCACAAACCCCACACCTTCACATCTTCACATCTTCACATCTTCACATCTTCACATCTTCACAGCTTCACATCTTCACATCTTAACATCTTCACATTTTCACATCTTCACATCTTCTCAATTTCACATACTCACATCTTAACATCTTATCATCTTCACATCTTCACATCCTCGCATCTGTACATCTTCACACATCTTCTCTCTCTCTCTCTCCCGCTTCACCTTCACACCTTCACACCTTCACATCTTCACATCTTCACATCTTCTTACCTTCACATACCTACATCTTCACATCTTCTCATCTTCACATCTTCTCATCTTCACATCTTAACATCTTCTCTCTCTCTCTCTTTTTTTTTCTCTCTCTCTCTCTCTCTCTCCCTCTCTCTCTTGCCCTCTGTCACGGTCTCTCTCCTTCTTTTTCTTTTCTCCCTTAAGGCTGCAGGCAGTGCCGACGGGGCGCCACGATATTGCCACCCTCTCGCACGTTCGAGTGTCAAAAACAATGTTTTTTTTTGCGATTGCACATCCTCAGCAGCAACCCTTTCGTACGAAACAAGGTTCGAGTGTCAAAAAGCTGCGGGTTTTTTGCGACTTTGGTTGGTCCGGCGGGAACCCTTTCGCACGAAATGAAGTTCGAGTGTCAAAAACGGATGTTTTTGTTTGCGATTTTACATTCTACGCGGCAACCCTTTCGTACGAAACAAGGTTCGGGTGTCAAAAACTGTGTTTTTTTTTTGCGATTTTGGTTGGTCCCGGCGGCAACCGCTTCGCACGAAATGAGGTTCGAGTGTCACAAAAGCTGATGTTTTTTTTGGCGATTTTATATCATCCGCGGCAACCTTTTCGTACGAAATGAGGTTCGAAAATCAAAAACAGAGGGTTTTTTGCAACTTCGGTTGGTCCGGCAGTAACGCTTTCGCCTTGTGTGTAAAAGTGTTTGTGTGTAGAAGCGTTTGTGTGTTTCTGTGTCAAAGCGTTTGTGTGTCAAAACGTTTGTGTGTAAAAGCGTCTGTGCGTCAAAGCATTTGTGTGTAGAAACGTTGGTGTGTAAAAGCGTTTGTGTGTAAAAGGGTTTGTGTGTAAACGTGTTTGTGTGTGAAGGGGGTTTGTGTGTAAAAGGGTCTGTGTGTAAAAGCGTCTGTGTGTAAAAGTGTTGGTGTGTAAAAAGGTTGCGTGTAAAAGTGTTCGTGTGTAAAGGAGTTTGTGTGTAAAAACGTTTGCGTGTAAGCGTGTTTGTGTGTAAAAATGTTTGTGTGTAAAAAAGTCTCTGTGTAAAAACGTTTGTGTAAAAACGTCTGTGTGTAAAAGTGTTTGTGTGTAAAAGTGTTGGTGTGGTAAAGAATCTGTGTGTAAAAACGTTTGCGTGTAAGCATGTTTGTCTGTGAAAGGGGTCTGTGTGTAAAAGGGTTTGTGTGCAAAAAAATGTGTGTGAAAACATCGGCGTGTAAAAGGGATTGTGGGCGAAATTGTTTGTAACAACATCTGTGTGTGTGAACGGGTTTCTTCGTAAAAGTGTTGGTGTGTAAGAGCGTCTTTGAGTAAAGAGGTTTGTGTAAAAGGGTGTCTGTGTAAAAGTGATTCTTTATAAAAACGTGTGTATGTAAAAGCGGCGGTGTGTAAAAACAAACCAAAAACAACTGTGTGTGTAACAGGGATCATGTGTGGCCTGCTTGCGACAGAGTCGTGTCCCGGCTGGAGTTGAGAGATGTGGCATGTTTAACAATTCTTGCATATGCTTGGCTGCAGGTGTCATGTTTCTGTGTGTAAAAGTGTTTGTGTGTAAAAGGGGATTGTGCGCAAAGGTGTGTAAAAAACGGTTTATGCGTAAAGGAGTCTGTGTGTCAAAAAACCTTTGTGTCTAAAAGGGTTTTATGTGTAAAAACGTCTCTGTGTGTAAAAGTGTTTGTGTGTATAACCTCTGTATGTGAAAACGTATATGTGTGATACAATCTTTGTGTGTAAAAACACAGTTGTGTGTAAGGCATGTTTGTATGTATGAGCATGCTTGTATGTAAAAATGTCCGTCTCAATTCTTCTTCCTGTGTCTCCTTCGTTTCATCTTTCTTTTATTTCTCCTTCAATTTCTTCATATGTACCTACTTTTCACATCTTTTCACAACATGTCTGCACCATGTCTCTTCATTTTAGGCATCATCGTATATTCTATATTTATGTTTCATGCTATAAGATCTTCATACTTACACCTCTCACTATGCTCCTCTACGCTCTTGGGCCACTCGTCGTCTAGTTCCTAATAGAGAGGCAGGATGCCCCATTTGTGCCTTAGTTTTGCACTAAAAAGATGCGAGTAAATCTCGGTAAGCTATCAATTTTGCTGCAGTTCCATCAAATTTGTTATTGCTTTCGTAGGGTTCTGTGACCTAAGGTGTCAGCATGCCGTTGCTCCGCCCCTTTGCGATCCAGGCGGAATCAGCATGTTGCGGAATGCTGCTACAGACCCACAGCAATGAATTTTATCGCTGACAGGCAGCTCGACGCTCTTTCTGCACAGATCTCAGAGTATGGAAAGGCTTGAAAGAGACTGGATATGAATCAACCTTTGAAACGCTTCTGACTTCCTAGTGACTAAGAGTCACTTTAAGAGTCATTGATTAAGAGACCCATGATTGCTTTCCAGGGCTGACTGTACATGATGAAGTGTTGAGGCCGGGGCCTAGCCACAACCCCCGTGCGTGCGCACCGGCCTACTGTCGGGCTGATTCAGGCCTGTTTTATTTTTTTTGTCCACTTAGTGAGACTTAGTCTTGGTCATGGTAACGTTTGTGAGAGCATCAGTTTGTTTCACTCAATCTGCCTGCAAATCTGTGTGATTTCCAGGGCAATGGAGACGACAACGCCAACTTAGGGACTGGAGTCGGCATGTTCGGGCTCGGGGATAGGTAGAGCTCAAGACAAAGTGCGGATCTGCTTGAAACATCCTGGAACAGACACTCTGATGACACTTGGGTGCCCCACTTCAGAGTCAAGCCGTCCCAGGATGCAGGAGAATGCCCCGTTTCACTACTCTCAAGACCTGGCAGGACATTGCGGACAAACGGGTCATTGCTTGCTGGATCTCCACTTTTTCTGACCGATCTTGATGTGGCGTGCTCAGAAGTCGCATGAAGTCGCAAATCATTTCTCAGAGCACCTCTCCGACTCTTAGCTGTCGCTCGATGTCGCTCGTAGCCCAATTTCTTCTCTTCAAGAGTGGTGCGCACAGTCCGCACGGAGCCAGACATTTGGTGTTTGAGTCCTTTGAGGCACCAATGTATTGGACAGAGATCCAATTTGTTCTGCAGCGGCCTCAGATTCCGACCTCAGCTGTCGTTGAATCTCTCGAGTGCCCTGAGCGCATCAAGGTCCGGTCCAATCAATGGTTTGTTTGAACGAATGTTCGAGACGGAAGCAGGCCCTTTGTTCCTTAACGGTGTCTGCCTCTCAGTTTTTGCACAGCCTTTCTAGTAGCCTCTAATTTCAGATGCTGGGCCTATTTGGGCCTGTTCCTTAAGGTCTTCTTGCTGACTCTGTCAGACTCTCAATCAAGTACTCCCATGGATTACCGTGATAGAACGTAAAGTAAGTCCTGCCAACTTTGTCAAGAGCAAAAGGGCAAATGCGAATGAGGAACAATGCAGCTGACACAAACAACAAATCCGGTGGCTGACACAAATCCGATGAGGGAGAACAATTCAAGGAAAGCTTGGAAGTATTTGGTAAGCCATGTTGGTCCTTTTGGTCCTTCTGTCAAAGGATGCGTATGGGCGTGTACTATGGATTCATGCAGCCCTCCTACTTGTGGCACTTCCAGGAGCTGTGTCGGTCCCGCTTAAACTTCCTTCCTGATCCTTCCTGCATAATCTTTGAATATCTTTGATGATCTTTGTATGTCTGTTTGAAGGATGTTTGCTGAAATTCAATGAAGTTCCTTGTATGATCAAAGACAAATCCTGTATAAATTTGACACTTCGGCCTTTGGCAGGAGCGATATGGCCAAACCTGGACGGTCGGCCATCACCTTTACGGTTCTGCCCAAAGCTTGGTTTCCTTAGTTTCCTTAGTTTCCTTGTGATGTTGCCTAAGGCCTAAGGCCTAAGTCTCCTACAAAGTTGCCATTGAATCGATTTCATTACTTGTGCATTCTGCAGATATTTCGGTTATCATTCCATGGCCAGGTCCCCAATTCTTACAATTTTCCCTAACTCCAAGAGAGGCGAGAAGGTGTTTTAACCACATGGCAGAAGTTGTGCAGACGCTACGGATTCGTTCTACTTGCTATACTTTGCATTTCTGTGTGTAAGGACCTGCCAAATCCGCTGAAGAAGGGAAAGTGAGTGCGCGGTTTTGTAGCCAGCTCAATAGGAAGGCATGCGAAAAAATGCTCAGACCTTTGGAAAAAGGCAACAAAGAGAACAAGGAGAGAGGAGAAAAGTAGAAGGATTTGTCACCCAGTTGCACATATCACAAGGATATACAAAGTCGGAATGGCTTTGAGATATCAAAAAGACAGCGACATTCTTCAGACGGCCACCAGGTGACATCAAGGGCATCGCTCACAGCCTGACAAGGCTACAATAGGCTACAATGAGGTATTTTAAGGATTTTTAAGGTGACATGATCCCAGCTTTCAGCGGACATATGATTATGTGACATTGACATACATTGACACAACCATTGCTACTATTCCTGGAAGCTTTTTAGATGACAAATGCGCCCGACGGCGAAGCTTCTGAGAGAGGCGTGTTTATCAGTTTCTAAAAAGGTGCATATCTTGAGCGACCTAAGAGCGACCTGAGAGCGACCTGATGCAATGCCTTGAAACATTTTGAAGCTACCGAGACTCTCTATGTGTGGATTTGCAATTGGCGGAATATATCGCCTCTCTTGAGGGTTGCACCTTTGACTTTAGGTAATTGACTCCCTGAATCTCCCTGATTTGTGGATGGTGCTGTGATATTTTGATATATTTTGAATGTTCTCAGAAAAGGCACTCAACACACTCCAGGCTCAATGAAATTCATTTGATGCTCTGCCAGCCTGTATTCTTGCTGCAGACAACTCTCCGTCATCGTCCTGGTTCCATACTGATCAGCTCTGGTCTGAACAAATGCAAAAAGAAGGGCCTGAGGAGGCGCAATTGGTGTCGAAATTCAGCGTCCTTTTCCACACCGCCTTTGGCTCCCAACAAAAAAGCACTTCTTGTTACTTCTATGATTTCTATGCACTTGCTGTCACTTACTTGTTCTCAGGTTGGATCGAGAGATTTTGGGAACATCCTATCGCCCTGCTTTGCACAAGCTTGCCCGACTGAAATATCTGAAGGTGGGGCCGAACTTTGCTGACACAGTGACACATGTGCATGACGTCTATTGACGTCTAATCTCTTTTAACTCTTTCATTTTTCCAGACGTTTTCAAATAGAGTTCAACTGGAAGAAAGAGAAGCATAACAAGAAGGACGAAGAAAAACAGCCATCAAAGACTTTTCTGCGCCGATCACATGACCCAAATCGGTGCCAGCGTGACAATGAGGATTCACAGACACCATCTTTCCCACATCTTTCTCATAAACAGAAATTATGGTAATACGATTTCGACATATTTCGACATATTTCGACAATTCGCTTTCCGAAAACAGAAAGCAGAGATTAGCAGAACACTTCGGCGAAGAGCACTTTGCTTGATCTTGGCGAACAAGGAGTAGAACATGGCCTGTATCATTTCATTGGACAAGATTCGACACCGCTCGCTGTTTTTTCATGGAGAGTCATGTTTCCCACAAAACATATATGCATTGGAGCTTTTGTGATTTCTAGTCTTATTCATCGAGTTTCTGATTGTTGAGTTGCTTGTGCCAGATCCGAAGCTCCTTCAAGAAACCAAAGCCAAGGGCTACCCAGAGATTGAGACCGGCATGAGGGGCACTGCAGTGCTGCGGTGTTGGGGCAAGAGATTGAAGGCGTCTGAGGAATGCAAAAAAGCAGAACTGCTCGCGCAAAAAGTCATGATGTTCAAATCATACAGCAAAAGTTGTGATGCCAGTCAACTTTGGTGAAGCACTTTGTCCTTTGGCCAAAGATCAAGTCTTGTGCAAGTTTCCATGAGTCCAACCCTTGTAATTAAGAAGTTTCTTTACTATTCTGGTCGCTTCGCGACAACAATTGCCCGCACCGGAAGTGTTTGTTGGATAGGCGCATCTATGTTGAGTTGAGCCATGAGCCTATGTGGATTGTGTGGAACCTATGTGGAGCCTATGTGGCCGATGTAGCAATGTTCCTATGTTGGCCGGGCCAACATTCTCCAACATTCTAGTGGAGCTTCAAGGCCAAGAAAGTTTCAACCGTGGCCCGGAAAAAATGCGAAACACAAAATCATTTCTGAAGCAAAATCGACCCGGCTGTAAGGATCCTGCCTTGCATTTGGAGTGCCAAGGACCACTAGCGATCAATAACGCAACAAAGGTGCCAAAACACAACTTCAGGACTGAAGGCTAACACTTAAAAAATCTTAAAACGCTTGCAATAGCTTCCAATCAGAGCGTTGAGACAAGAACCCTTTGGGCGGGCAGATTTTCTGCAGCACGGCATATGCTTTCCTTGCAGGGTATTATTGCTTAGCCGCAAATAGACAAGAAACAGTATGCCGAATGAGATAGCATAGAAAGCCTTGTGCTTTTACTTATGTTTATAGTCATTTGTAGGCTGTGCTTTGGAATACTTTTGATGGGTTATGGGAAGCATTGACTTGAAGTTGAAATTTCCATTCCTTTCAATGCTCCCTGCTCAGATCCTCTTGAGATAGGGACAGGCGCTGTGCTTGTGTGGACATATCAATGCCAATTTGTGATTTACACCACTAACCTTGGTTTCTATTGCGTGCAACCATGCGATCCGTTACTTAATTTTGTGGATGTACATTGTTGCGACAATGTGCAGTCCTGGCCGAGCTGCATTAAACGAAGGGAGTTCCATGATGGACGCAGAGGGGCTTTTTTGACAGGAAAGCCTGGATGCAGAGTGGAGGATTTTCTCATTGCCGGCGGGTTTTGGCTTCAGTACAATAGTTGGGACTGAAATCTTCTCCCCCGGTAGCTAATTCATGTTCTGTGCCTCCAACACCTTCTGGAGATAGCCAGGCTGGGCTGAATCTATGAATCTAGCAGTGAGTGTGTTGATTCTTTTGCAAGCTTCATACTTTGCGCCTTGCTTTCTGGCAAAGCGATTCGCGTGCCTGCACCTACTTTCAATTCGGAATTTGAGGGAATTTCCTTTGAGGCTTTCCAATGGAAAAGAGAACTCAGGGCAAAATGCTTGGAAGAAAGCAGAACTCAACTGCAGAATTGTCTTGGGAGCACAGATCACCTACGAGGAATAAGCAATGAAGATTTTCTTGGGCCAGCCGATATATTTCCACTGATGGAAGCACAAACCTTCACTTCAAATATGAATCAGTCGGGGCCTCCGGAGCCTCGGGGGCCCTTCCATCATTCTGCATCATTCTGGATTCATTCTGGATTCATTCTTTCCTTGCGGAGGCTTTGGCTCGTCATGGATCAACGAAGCATTATGGACGCAGCCCGCGCACCTTGGTGTGCATACTGTAGCACCATATTCTTTGGTTTTCTTCCACTTATTTCTTTCTGCATACTGTCACCATGTCCGGTCATGTCTTCTCACCTATGTTTTGCTATTTTATCTATTTTGCCGACTTTGCATCTTTTTCCTATCTTCACTTTCTTATCTGACTCACCAATTTGAGCTCCTCCTCGCGCGCTCGCTCGCTCTATCTCTTCCATTTGAAGGGATCTTTATATTTTGGTACATCTACAGTAAACTTTATCTCCTATCCAATGTAAAAAACCTGGGTTTCTATCTAGATACTGATCTCTTCTAGATGTCTGTTTGCCATAATGTATTTGATGTTTGCAATGTACAGATGGAATCTATCCATGCAATCTGAGTAATCAGTGTGCGCATGGTCCGTATACAATACAATCTAAGGTGCTGCAACACAATGTGATTGATACGATGAGTTTAATGCAAAAAAAGTGAAACACAATGCCAATGGGCCAATGGAATGGAGTAATAGATTTCAGGAGGTTGGACACATACGTTTGTTTGTCTGTCTCGCCCCGGCATGTATGAGTTTTATTTTGAGTACATTTATTCAACTTTTTACCCGTTATTTCTCCATCCATCCATCCGTCCAGCCATCTATCTTTCAATTTGTCCATTTGTGTATTTTATCTTTTTCGGTCCGTTCAACAAAGTCGAAAATCCAATTTATATTTATATAGATTTCCATTGTTTGTATTTCTCAGCGGTTTGTCAGTACCCTTTTTATTACCTGATCTTGTTGTAGGTGTCATTTTCCAGTCCTTTCCATTGTTCCTGGTCCATATTATCTGTTTCAATTGCAATCTTCGTCTCTCAACTTATCTCACCTCTTCGTTTCTCGCTGTACCATTTCTTGTGCATCTATCTCCTGTACCTATATGCCAGCCGGGCTGGCTGTGCGGCTGTCTATCTGTTTGTCCGTTTGTTCTTGTTTCTCTCCGTTTGTGTGCTTGTCTGTCCGCCTTTGTGTTTCACTTTTTGGTGTTCTGCTTCTTTAACTGTTTGCTGATTGGTCCGTTTGTCATGTCTACGAGTCTATCTCATATTTGCTGTCTCTTTTGTTTGTTTGATTATTTATTCATTTATTTATTTATTTATATTTATTTATCTATTTTTCTTCTGATTTCTTTTTCAGCTTAATCTCCCAGTGCCACACATTTCTAGCCTAGAACGACATTTATATCGGAAATGCGTTGCCTGATCCCCAGGTGCTGCCGGCCTGATGCTGAGCCATGTGGCCCTCATGTGGCTCTCCAATCTTT